GTTGGGATGCATTCCCTCCTCTTCTATATTCTGGAAGATTTGTTTTAGAATTGGTGTCATCATTTCTTTAAGTGTTTGGTAAGATTCACCAGTGAAGATATCTGGATTTGGAGTTTTCTTTGTGGAAGGATTTTAACTACAAGTTCAATGTTCTTCATAGATATGGAAATATTCAAGTCGTCTTTTTCTTCTTAAGTGGGCTTTGGCAATTTGTGTCTTTCAAGAAACTTATCCATTTTACCTAAATTGTTGAATGTATGAACATAGAGCTATTTGTGACATTCCCTTATTGTCCTTAAATATTTATAGGCTCTGCAGTAACGTCCCCTATTTCATCTTTTTTTTATTGAAACATAATTGACTATACATATTTGTGGGGTACATGGTTGAATATCAATACCTGTGCAAAATATATGATGATTAAATCAGGATAATTAGTATATTCATCATTACAAAACATAATCATTCTTTGTGACCCTTTATCAATTTCTTGCTAACCCCTTTCCCCCTTTCCCACCTCTAGTAACTACAGTTCTGTTCTCTCCTTTTAAAAGTTCAATGTATTATTGTGATTGCTATGTCTTTCCTTCTTTTTTATTTATTTGTTTGTTTTTTAGCTCCCACTTATGAGTGTAGATATGCAGTATTTCTCTTTCTGTGCCTGGCTTATTTCACTTCACACAATTTTCTCCAAGTTCATCCATGTTACTGAGAATGACATGATTTCATTCATTTTTATGACTGAGTAGTATTCCATTGCGTATATATACCACATTTTCCTTACCCGGTCATCTGTCGATGGACATTTAGGCTGTTTCTATCTCTTGGCTTTTGTAAATGGAGCTGCAATAAACACAGGAGTGCAGGTTTCTCTTCAACATGATTTCCATTCCTTTGGGTATATACCCAGCAGTGGGATTGCTGAATCATATGGCAATTCTATCTGTAGTTGTCCCTGTTTCATCTTTAAGTTATTTACATCTTTTTTCTTCTTGATTAGTCTGGCAGAGATTTATCAATTTTATTAATCCTGTCAAAGGAGCATCTTTTGGTTTCATTGATTATATATATTGTTTTTCTGTTCCTCATTTCATTAATTTCCACTCTTTATCTTATCTTTCTACTTGCTTTGGGTTTAATTTGCTCCTTTTTCTTTTTTATCCTAGTTTCTTAAGTGGAAACCTTTGGACAGGGGTCAGCAAACTACTGCTTGTTGGCTAAATCTGTCCTGCTGCCTGTTTTTGCCAATAAAATTGTATTGGAACCCAGCCATGTTCATTTATTTATGTGTTTTCTATGGCTGCTTTTCTGTTACCATGGCAGAGTTAAAGCACTGTTACAGAGACCATGTGGCCCACAAAACCCAGAATATTTACTATCTAATCCTTTACAAGGCCTATACATCTGCCAGCCCCTGCTTCAGATAATTGATTTGAGATCTTTCCTTTTTCTAATATAAATATTTTACTGCTATATCTTTCTCTCTAAGCACTGCTTTATTTGCAACCTATAAATTTTAGTATGTTGTGTCTTTATTTTCTTTCAACTCAAAATATTTTCTAATCCACCATGGCACTTTCTCTTTGTCATTTGTTTACTGTAAAATGTCCACATATTTGGAGATTTTCTGGATATCTTTCTGTTATTGATTTTTCACCATGGCACTTTCTCTTTGTCATTTGTTTACTGTAAAATGTCCACATATTTGGAGATTTTCCGGATATCTTTCTGTTATTGATTTTTCTTTTTTTTTTTTTCCTTTTTGTCTTTTTTACTGACTGGTAACGGCATCGCAACCCTCGGCGTTGCACTTCTTTTTTTTTTTTCCTTTTTGTCTTTTTTACTGACTGGTAACGGGATCGCAACCCTCGGCATTGTGCCCACACCGTGCTCAGCCAGTGAGCGGGAACCGGTCTCCACATGGGATCCGAACCCTCGGCGGGAGCACCGCCACACTCCCAAGCGGCACACTCTCCAGTGTGCCACCGGGCCAGCCCTGTTATTGATTTTTCTAACATAATTCTATTTTGTGTTCAGAGAGTGTATTTCATACGATAATTCTCTTTAATTTTTACGATGCATGGCGGGAGCACCGCCACACTCCCAAGCGGCACACTCTCCAGTGCGCCACCGGGCCGGCCCTGTTATTGATTTTTCTAACATAATTCTATTTTGTGTTCAGAGAGTGTATTTCATAAGATAATTCTCTTTAATTTGTTACGATGCGTTTTATGGTCTATTTGGTAAGTGTGCCATGTGTATTTGAATCAGCTTTTGAAGCACTGTTGTTGGGCATGTACATATTTAGGGTTGCCATGTCGTTTGGGTGAATTGATGCCTTTATCATAGGTATTGCCCCTCTTTATTCCTGGTATTACTTTCATCCAAAATCTCCTTTGTCGGATATTGGTATAGCCACTACAGCTTTCTTTCGATTAGTGTTTGCATGCCATATTTTTTTCATCCTTTTACCTTTCTTTCCAAGACAACTTTTGGAACACTTTAATCAATAGAATGGAAGTACATGAATGAATTATAAAATAAAACCAATGCATCAATGAGTAAAATCTAACACAAAAGTATCCAGGCTTCTGATGAGAATAGAATCAGATGGAGGAAGTCAAAGAGTGGAGGAAGGATGCATATGAGGAAAAAAGAACCCTGGGACTGAATTTTCAAGACAGTCTCAGGTGATGTCTTTAACTTGCAGATACCCAAACCCCTGATCAGTGGTTTGAGACAGGCATGACATTTGATCACGGTAGGTATATGCTGTGTCTGGAATGGGGAAGAGGTTCAGAATCCTGTAGAGACTGTAGACACCCAACTCTATGATAATGAGGTGGAAGGTAAGAGGATACCAGAGCTCTAAGGAGACTCTCTGCTCTTCTGAGCCTGTCACTGACCACACAGCAGCAGGGAATGATGAAAAATTTCCCAAGTTGCTAGTTTAATGAAAGAGCTGGAGTACTATGGGAGAGGCTCCATGGAAAACATCTATTTGGCCTGAAGGAAATAAACATTCAAGTACTGGAATAACTATGGTGCCATGCTCAAAAGCTGGTGGTGGAAAGTTCTCTCTCATTGACTTTTAGAAGACAACCTTTCTTCACAGAGAGGCCTAGAAAGTTCTATTCGTCTTGGTCTTTTCCTGTTTAGTCTTATATTTTGAAGCATCTCTGGGTTTACTGCTAAGATTGCTTCAATCATCAGCTGCAGGTATGGTTTCATAATGGTGCCATGCAGACTTATTAAAAACTGGAAATCTCTCAAATGATTCACTTGAAAAAGTCTTTAAATAAATGACAGCATCAGTACCCATCCATTCCATCCAATAATTTTAGATCTTTAAAATATCTATTCTACAGATGAAAAAATGGCAAGGCCTAACCAAATCCAGCCAAAGTGACAGATCTAATAGGCTCCAGGCTATGTCTAAGAGAAGCTGGAAACATAGATGATGTTTTCTTCACACCGTTATCTCTCCTGAGGTCCAACAATTCCTTGATGGAGAGCAGTGAGGGCAAGAGGCACAAATAGCACCTGATCTGTTTGGGTAACACCTGCTTCAGCAGCCTCCAGAATAGCCATAGCCTTGCCAGGATGATGCACAGACCTGCCTAGGTGCACGGTGGGCATGAGGGCCTGTGCAGCCAAACCGTTTGGGTCAGACGTGTACTTCATGAACTACCTCAGTTTCAGCAGGAGCCTCAGCCTTGGCCTATGGGTGCAGCCACCACAGCAGCCCCGAGGTCAAAGCCACTGCTGATGGCTTCCCCAGGCCCCACTCATCCTTTTGCTTGTAGACCATCTCTGCTTTTATATTAACAGTGGGTTTCTTACAAATACCATATAGTTCAGTCTTGATTTTTATACCTAATCTGGAAATCTGTCTTACGGTTGATATTTTCAGACCATTTACATTTGATGTAATTGTTGATATGGCTGTATTGAAATCTACCATCTTGCAGGTTTTTTTATGTTTGTTCTATTTCTTCTGTTTTACTTTTCCTGTCTTTTCTGTCTTCATTCATATTAATTATTTTTATGATTCCATTTTATCTCCACTATTGGCTTCTTCTTTATACATGTAAAATTTTTTTAGTGTTCACCTTAGAATTTACACTATACATTTTAATTAATCATGGTCTACTATTAAATAATATTGTATCACTTTACAGAAGTGTCATAATTTGCTTTTTACCAAGTCACAACAGCTCTGGGAGAAAAATTATGATCTAAAATATTAGTGTCTCAATGACTTCTCAAATATGCAACTGGGTGGTATTGTTAACATGTATCAACTCATCACGAGCCAAAGAAAATCTTTTTACATCATTTGCCTTGTTTTTCAATTGACTATTGATTTTACTCCCAGTGTCCTCAACTCTCTGAACAACTGGTCTCACTGAAAGGCAAGTTTATTTTCTCTAGGAACATTTCTTTGGCTGCAGCAATCAAACATAATTTAATGAATTCATCAATTGTAAATGGCTCTTTTCACCTGGCCAGTAAATTAGCCATTTGGAAACTCATTTTGGTTGCAGCTTCATTTTATTTTTTTATTTTTATGAGAAAATTCTGCTGTGATGAGATATCCCATTCTTAAGTTTCTAATTTTTCTGTCACTTTCCTGTGAGTTGGGAACATTGTGATGAGTGCTTAATCTAGTTATGTCAATGAATATTGTATTCCTTTAGTGTGTCTATAATGTCTTTGCATAATAAACATAACACTTTACCATTTATTCTACAAAAAATAAAAATAAAATAAAATATTAGTGTCTCGATTCATAGCTGTGCTGGTAAGATCACTTCAGACTTCTTTGTTTATTATTCTATCAGCAAAATGTCTGTAGGAAAAATGTGGGAAACTTCACACATAAATGCAGTCAAATGGTTGGAAAAGGAAGGGTTATCATCATTGGTAATATTCATATATCTTTAAATTTCACCAACATGACATCTGAAAAAATAATTATTTCTTTTGTTTTTGAACAGATATTGCTGCTGTGGAAGAATGGTTAGTAAGGATCACTTTACATCATGGATTAAATATTTATGCTACTGAGGGAACCCTATTAGATACTGCTCGAGGTAAGTGCTAGCAGATAAAAGTGTATTTGTACAACAAATTTTGACATGTACCATATGTCGGACTCTGTGCTAAGTCCTAGAGATAAACAAATAAATACAAGATGATCATGACCCTTGAGGGTCTTACAATCTGATGGGGCAGACAAAGAATTAAATACTCATATGTATGGGTTGTTGTTAATAGAGGTCTGCAAAGAGTGTTATAGAAATACGGAAATACATCTTTTGTTGTAGCTGTGTTGGGAGTCATTATAAACAATGGCTTTATAAAGTTAGTTTTTGCATCTTAGATGCAGCTTAGTTAAATATTATTCATTGTATCACAGTCTTCTTTATGTGGACCACTAGTAAAAATTTTTTCCCAGTCTTGGTAAGAATGGTTTTGTTTTTTTCAAATTAAAAATTAGTTGTTAAGCTTATGAACACCAAGCGGTATAACTGATTAGGCTTCTCTTTCTCAATTTTCTAATAGAAAATTTATAATACAAGTTTTGAATCACCTAAAGCACTGCAGTATAAATTTTTTTTAAAAAAATTATCAGCCCAGGGCCGGCCCGGTGGCGCACTGGATAGTGCGCCGCTTGGGAAGCGCGGCGGCGCTCCCGCCGAGGGTTCGGATCCCACATACAGACCGGTTCCCGCTCACTGGCTGAGCGAGGCGCGGGAGCAACACCGAGGGTTGTGATCCCATTGCCGGTCCCCGGTCTGGTACGGGGGCAACACTGAGGGTTGCGATCCGTTGCCGGACACGGAAAAAGACAAAAGACAAAAAAAAAAAAAAAATTATCAGCCCTGGATCTTCTGTTTATCTTCACTTTCCTTGCCTTCCTTTTTTCCTTTATTGTATTAGTCCCACTTCAATAGGATGCTGTGTAGAATGCAGAATAAACATAAATAAATATTACATTTTATGAAGAGAATCACCTGGGAGCTTTTTAAAAAGTAATGATATCTCAACCCCACTGTACACCAGTTAAAATCTCATCTGTACAAGTAGAGTTAGGCATCTGCACTTTTAGAAAGTCATCCCAGATGATTCTAATGTACAGTGACGTGTGTGAACTGCCCGGGAGAAATACAGGTCGCACATGTGCCCAAGAGATGTTTACAAGCCTATTTAATGCAGTATTATTTGCAATAAGAAAAAACTGGAAACAACCCAAATGTCCATAGTAGAGGAAAAGACTGGCACATGCTGGTATGTTCTGTTAAAATGAAGGAAATAGACCCATGTGTATAACCAAGAACAGAACTCAAAAACATTGATTGAGCAGTCAAGTTGCAGAACAGAGGAGGAGAGTATTTATCTAAAATCCAGAAAACACAGAAAGCAATGCTATGTAGTCTTCATGCATATTTGTACACATATTTTATAGTAAAGATATAAAAACATGGACTAGAAATATACACAACAATTTCATGCATTTGAGGGGGACTTGGGAATGAGACTACGGAGTAAAGCAGAGGTATATCTTCAATCATATCTATATTGTTTTATTTCTTTAGTCAAAATTAAAATATCTGAAACAAAAATGACAAAATATTGTACTTTCTCATTTTTTTCATAGTTTACAAAATTTTAAAAAATAGCGAGCCAAGTATTTAATAGTAATTGCAGTACTGGCTTTGGGATTCTGATATTTTGATATCCTATGCTACTTTTATGTACTAAAATACCAATATAAAATTATTTCAATTTTTTTAAAAGCCTGAAATCTGAATCATTTACATATTAAGATGTGCCCAAAATATTATATACTGCATAAAAGCTTTAACTTACATTTGCTTAGTTCGTACAGAGGTGTGGCAGCAAAGAGCTTCACAAATTAGCAGATCTTAGATGGATCCAAATGCAAAAATGAGATTGATCTGTTTGAGGAACTAACAGGAGGCCTGCATTGCTAATGCATCATAATTGACAGAGTGGTATATAATGACTTTGGAGAGGCTGAAGGAATCATGGGAAAAAATGTGGACTTATACTTTACCTGGGGGGGTCGATACCATGATCATGAGGGTGGTTTTCTTAGGGCGAGGCTTATCCATTGCACTCTGGATGTCCTGACCCCTGCAATTTCCTCAAATGTGGGAAACTGATGGCACTATCTGCGGCAGTGGGGGACTGCACTGCACTCACCCTGATTGAAAAAAAAAGTACAGATTTTATTGTAATTACAGTCCAAAGCCATTGGGGTGTTCTAAGCAGGAGAGTAATAAATTCTGATTTATCCTTTATAAAAAGAACACTTTGGCTGTTGTTTAGAGAACCGACTCTTGGGGGAGGATGACTCTAATGGAATAAAGGAGATCGGTAGCAGCTGTTGCAATGGTCCACCCAGGAGATGGTCTGGAGCACTCGGGCTGTGGTATTAGTAGTGGAGGTGATGAGAAATAAGAGCCTTCAGGATACATTTTGGAAGTGGAGCTGAAATACCTTCTCGGTGGACTAGGGATACGGAAAACAGAAGTATCAAGGATGAATCCTAGATTTTGACTCAAGCAGTCAAGTATGGTATCATTTACTGAAATGCTGAAGACATGGGGAGAAAACATCAGGAAGTGGGAATCAAGGGTTAAGGTTAGGGTGACAGATAGAAAACTTTATTCATTTTTTTAAAAGAAAAACTTCAGACAAATTCAATGTAACAGCGTTTAACTGAGCAAAGAGTAATTCATGAATGGGCATTCCCCAGAACGAGAACAGGTTGAGAGAGACTACACAGCTGCCACGTATTCAGATAACATTTATGGACAGAAAAAAGGAATGGGAGGTACAGAAAACAGAAGCGAGGTACAGAAACAGCTGGACTGGTTACAGCTGGGCGTTTGCCTTATTTGAACCTGCTTTGAACAGCTGACTGCCTGTGATTAGCTGACACTCAGCCACTTATTACAAGAGTAGGTTACAGTCTGTCTACACGTCACGTTAGGTTATGGTTCACTACGTCTGAAGAAAACTTTAGGCCAAACTTAATTTATCACACGGCTAAACTCAAAAGGGATGTTTAAAGATCTCATTTCTACTTCTGTGTATCCAATCCATGCCCCTAACCACCTGTCCATTTTCTGTCTGCTCCACTTTACTAAAACTGCTGTTAATCACAGTGACCAGTGACCTTCATATTGGTCACTTTTTTGTTTCTTTCTTAGCTTCTTGGTAGCAGTCAAAACTTTTAATCACTCCTTCATTCTTAAAACATTTAAAACACAGTAACTGACTTTAGGGATCGTGTGCATAAGTGAAAGGGCATTGTCAATTCAGTGCAGCCATGGCCCAGATGTAAGCTCAAATCTTGTTCTCTAAGATCTGGGTGTGAATGACCTGCAAACACATGCTACACCCTGAAAAGAGAGCTGCCTTGCCCTAAATGACTTACTGCTGAATTAGTTTAGTTATAAATTGTGTCTCTTTCCCTTCTCAGCTGTCCGTGTGTTACACTAGGTCAATCCAGATTGAAACTTAGCTCCTTTCTTGCTTTGCACAAAGTGAAAAAAAAAATCGCGTGAAGTCTTCAGATGTTATTGAAAGTTTCGGGAGACAGAGGAGATTTACATGGTAGAATGTAAACAGCTAAAGAATCGATTATTAGATATTTCTGTTCTTAAAAGTCCTTTGACTATTTTTGAAATTCAGCAGTATTCTTTCAAATTGCCCTGGCTTACTTTTTGTACTCTTTCCTCTTTTTTCTTCAAAAGAAAAAAAAAATGCTGCCATTTTTTATGTATGAAAATTTGACTTTATCTGGCTCCAATCCTTTGCATATCCATGAGTAGTATTTTAAGTTTTAAAATTTGAGAAGCCTTGTCTGATTAAGTTCTCTCAAAAGGACCATTATCTACCCTAGTCTGGTGAGGAAGAGTATAGTTGTCTTCTTCTAGTTATTGAAGCACCTGGGAGGAAAGCCTCACTCATTCTAGAGGTCCATGGAAGGCTTCCCAGAGAGGGTGACATCCAAATCAAGACCTGAGAAAAAGGGTTGAGAGAAAAACAGACATTTGAAAAGGCCCATGAACTAGGGCTTAAAATGGGAGGGCAGTTCTGGAAAAGCCGAAGAATCAAAAAGACATCAGATCCAGGAAGGCCTTGTTGACCATATTTGCCACTTGCTGCTATTCTGCCTGTGCTGGGGTGAAAATGTCTCACCTGCGATTGCTTTGTCCTGTTAGTCCCACCCCCAGCTTCTTTCTGTCTTCCAGAAATCTCTCTAAATGTTGACCATATTTGCCACTTGCTGCTATTCTGCCTGTGCTGGGGTGAAAATGTCTCACCTGTGATTGCTTTGTCCTGTTAGTCCCACCCCCAGCTTCTTTCTGTCTTCCAGAAATCTCTCTAAATCTCTTGGCCACTAATGATAAGTCTTAGTCTCACTCTCTCGGTCTCTTGGCCACTTTTCCTGTTCTCCATTGCTACTCTGGATATATTCTAATTTTTGAATATCTACTGCTGTTTTCATGAGATTGGGGAAGAGAACAAAAGTAAATGTGTGGACTCCTGCAGCGGAAGTTGTTCTCTAAATGATAAATGTACATATCCTGTGATCTAGCAATTCCATATCTAGGGATAGGTCCTACGACGAATGGTACTTACCAAATGTGGCCAAAGCAATATCTCTCATCCCATGTGCTCTTTTTCAACATGACCTTGCTAGGCCCCCATCAAAGGGAATTTACGCTTCATTCTTTCTACTGTGGAAAATAAGAACTGACCTATTTTTAACTGATGAAGAGTGAGGTAATACACCCGTTTTTGAACTATAAAACAGCTCCTTTACATAGTTCCTTTAAAACCTTTAAGGGAAAGTAGTAATGTTCTATTTTCAAGTGCTGCCACAATTGAAAGTAACACCTAAATTTGATTTCCACAGAACCCATTCTTCAGTGGACTCTTGGGGTTGTAATGCCAGAAAGTGAGGTCAGTAAATTATATGCGCATGTGATAGATCTCAAAGTGACAAAATGCCCCTGTGCCAATGATGTAGCATTACTTGGCTTCATTTTGAATACAACACTTGATGGTAAGTTTATGGCTTTATTGAATGTTGGAAGTGATGTTTTGTGTTTTATAACAGTGATGTTTAACAAGAAGTACAAACTAAATGCACAGACAGTGGAGTAAAAATGTTTCTTAAAATACCTAAGAATTTACTGTTCATCCCTCAACCTTGTCTACTTATAAGTGTGATATACTAAGTATATTTGTTTGCTATGATTTTTGCCATGTTAATAGTGACTTTAGTGTCTTTGCTGATTTTGTTGATCCTCTGTCCTCCATTAATACGTTACTTCCTCCCAGAGATGATTCTTTGTGTTTCTTGTCTGTCTGCTATTCCTGCCATGTATAAATAGATATTGCTGTTCCTAAGGTAACACATTATTTTATTTATTATGTATGCATTTTCCCATTACTATTGTAATATTTAATAGCACCTGAATAAGAAAAAAAAAAAAAAAACCACGAAGTTTCTCTATACTCTCATTCACAACACTTCTGACACCAAATGTATGGATTTTCTACACCAAGCAATTTTCCAGTACTCTGCAGACACCAAGTGGGTGTTGTATGATTTAATTTCATTCTGGCACTAGCTACCTGGAGTTGGCACAGACCCCCAACAGGCTAAGGGCTCAGTCTCACAAGACTGCCCCACACTTCAGATGCCAGTCACAAATCCCAGGTTGTGACCTGTACTTCTAACCAACAGGCTACAAATTGGGGTTCCCACAACCCCTTGCTTGTGTTCAATAATTTGCTAGAAGAAATCAGTAGAATTTGTGGTGTGTCATCAGCAAACTTGCCCATACCACTAATTTTTTTCTCTGAATGGTCTCTTAACTTTCTTACAATAAAGAGTAGCCTCGCTATCCCCAGATAACATTCTTTTCCCCACAGTCCTCTCACAGGTCACATATCTCAAAGCCCAAGATTGGGGTTGTTGTTCGTGCTCCTTAGGGCCACTACTTAAAAATTACTTCTGTCCTCTCCTTCAAAACTCCCACTCCTTTGCATTCAGACTGTAGCTCCCTGTAACTCTTCTTGGCTGCCAGCTGCTATGGGTCAAATGTGTCCCCCAAAAGTTCACGTGTTAGAAACACAATCCCCATTGTAACAGTGTTAAGAGGATGAGAAATCCAATTATGGTATTTGAAAGGGGGGGCCTTTAAGAAATGATTAGATCATGAAGATTGTGCTCTCATGAGTGGATTAAACCATTCATAGAGTAATGAGTTGTTATGGGTATGACTGGTGGCTTTATAAGGAGAGCACACGAGAGAGCTCTTGCCATCCTGGCCAGGTGATTGCCTGCGTTGCCACAGGACCTTTAGAGAGCTCCCGCCTAGAGGCCCTCATGAGCAGATGTGTCCCCAGCCTCTAAAACTGTAAGAAATAAATTTCATTTCTTGATAAATTATCCAGTTTCAAGTATTCTAAGTGACAGAAAATGGACTAATACACCAGCCTATGGTGACCTCCCCATCACTCACACTCATTCATTGATGAGTTTAGCCCCTGAATCTCTGCCTTTCTGTCCACCTTGATTTTTGTCACTATTTTCAGTTACTTCACTATCCAAACAGATGACCAGCGCAATACCCAGTTTTAAGGCTTCCTCTCCTCCAATGATCTTTTCCCTGTCTTATGCCTATGGTCATATTCTTGACCTCATAATCTCTAATAATGTCATTATCTCAAAAATCTTCACTACAGGCATCTGTCTACCACCTCCTATTCTCTTGGTCTACTTTAGTACTCACATGTCAGCATTTCTTTATCTCACTGAGACTTTGATCTGTTGTCCCTGTCACTTTTTTCACTTCCTCTTTCCTCACCGTAATTTTCATAGTCCATCCTTATAACTTCCTTGTCCTTCTCTTTTTTCCTCGCTTGCACAACCCCAACTCTAGTTAAAACCACCTCTGCTCCTGCACTGTAGGAGCAGAATATTGCTAGAAAAAAATTGCATGCTAGTCTCACTTTAAAATTCCTCTGACTGGTCTCACTTTAAATTCATGTCACAAATCTCAAGTGGGCACTCAGCACTGCCTAGAAATCCTATCACTCTTCCTTGGTATATTTATTTTCCTGCTCTACAAGATAACCTTATCACACCTCTTCCCACTCCTCAAACAGTCTCTATCACCTGCTTTCCCGTCTCACTTTCAATTGTGCCTTTATCTAATACTTCACAGAGAAAATTAAGATTGATAACAAGGAACTCCTAATCGTTGCACTTGCAAATCTGCTGTCCTACAAAAAGCATTGGTACTTGCATGCTTTGCCTTTCTGCCTTTCACCTTGTAGGAAGTGTCTCTGCTGCTATCAATGGCCACTCCCAACCCCTTGTGTTCTGGATCCCATTCTTTGCAGCCATCTCAAGATCCTCGCTCCTGCATCTATTCTACAATTCTCGCCATTTCTCTTGCATCATCGCGTTCTCTCTCCTTGCTGGATCATATTCATTAGCATGCAGATGCACCCTAATATCCCCCATCTGAAACAAAACCTTCAAGTATCTTACTTTACTCTCAGCCCTTTTCTCTGTACTCCTTCAAAGCAAAATTGATGGAAAGAATTGAGGGTAGGTGGCGCTATGTTTTCACTTCCCATTATCTTCATTCCACTGTAAGTCAGACTTTTGTTCTGACCGTTCTACTAAAACGGTTCTTCTCAAGACAACCCAGTCTCCATACTGCCAATTCCGACAGCCAATTCTTTATCCTCAATCTACTTTCCCTCCCAGCAGCATTTAACACAGTTGACCACTTGCTCCTGAAAACAGGTTCTGCTCTTGGCTTTCTTGATGTCACCTTTGATTGCTTTGTCTCTTACCTCATTGGTCATTCCTTAATTTTCTAGGCTGGCTCCTTTTTGATGTGACCCCTAAATGCTCATGAACCTAGGGTTTTGTCTTTGACTCTCCTTCCTTCTGTCACCACAGTCTTTCTCCTGAAGACTTACTCCAATCTCATGATGGTAATGCCACCTTCAGGCTCTTGCTGGTGCCGACTGCTCCTCCAAGCTCAGACTGTTCTTATGTTCAATTGTCTGTTTTACATTTCCTCTCGCTTTCTAAAGGGCATCTCAAATATAGCAAGTCTAATCTAGAACTGTTGATTCACCTCCCTCTAAAATCTGTTTCTTTCTAGCATTCCTCATCCCAATTACTCAACACTAAAACCTAGAACACATTCTCAACTGTTCTTTCTCCCAACATTCCAGAGTGGTGCTATCTCCAGAGTCTATCGCCTGTGTGATGACTTCTCTCCTCTGCTAAAATTTTGTCAAGTCAACGTTGTTTTTCTACCAGACTAATTCACAGCCTCTTAAGTGGCCTACCTGTTTCTATTCTTGCCCCAATGTAGCCCACTTCCTATACAGCCACTAGAGCGATCTTCTCAAGTACAAACCAGATCACATTATTTCCCTGCTTCAAACACTCCAGTGGTTTTCCTTTGCCACTAGGGTAAAAGACAATCATCTTCTGTAACTCTGGGATATAATTATGGACATTTTGTCTTAGAGAGTGTCCTCTAACTTGATTTCAATCTAAAAATATTAACCAGTATAAAGCATTTATTTTGCTGCTTATTTATCCACTAAATATTTCTAAACTTTGCAGGTGTCTGGTCTCATGCTATCATGCTGGACACCTATAATAATTCCCACTTAGACTATCCCACTGTCATCTGTAAAATTAGACAATTCTTCCAAAGGTGAAGCTTGTTTTAGCATTCCTCTTCCTGGGAAAAGTAGATAATAATAACACTTCCTTCTATGTTTTTCCCTACATAGAAAAGAGCTGGAAAGTAAGACACACACTTCACAATATGATTCATCCTACAGTCCTCTTTTGGACACAGAGTACTGGATACACATTAGATTGTCAAGTGTCTTTAGCACTTCAGAACTTCAGATTAACACTCCAGATTTAAAACACAAAAGACTCTCAACATTCCTAGCTATGGCCAAGGAAAGGTGGGATCAGGGAACAAAATGCTTTCAGTATTTGCAATATGTTTAGTCTTCTTTTAAGAGGTTCTTATGGGGATTAGCAAACATTTATTTTTTAAATCACAAGTATTAAAGTAAATCATAGTCTCTGCCCTCTTGGAGTTGACATTCTAATTTTCTTCTTTGGGGTTCTTTTTTTGTCGACTAAAATTGTAATCCTGAAATAGGAACATCTTGATGTTTAAAGGATATTGTCAGGGAAGAAAAAATTTCTTCTGCCCTCTTATGTTCATTGAATGAAAACTGCAAATTAAACTAACAAAAGATAGATTAACAGATGATTTAAAAGCAAATGATTTTTATTAATATTTACGTGCATGGGAGTTCACAGAAAAGAAGTGAAACTCAAGTGGTTAAACTTGGGAGCTTATATACCATTTTAACAAAGAAAGGGGCTTGGGCTTCAAGGGATAATAAATTGTGAGGAAGTGACTAGGAATTATAAGGGGGAACTAATGAAAGATAAGGGTTATTTTAATAAGGTCTGTTTATGCAACTTTGTCTCAGTGTCTACTCTTCATTTCCAGTGATAAAAGTTCTCTTCTTTTCCATACACAAGGGGAAATTTGTGCCCTGCTTTTAGGCAGATAAAGAGAGGGTGGCACCTGCATCTGTTGGTTCTCAATTGCCTTCAGCTCAAAATAATCCTTACGCCAAAATTGCATATTTTGGGGTCACATATTCAGATCCCTTTTACAATAAAACAAAATACTTAATAATTAAGTTCAGCTTGGAAGATATTTTAACAGGATAAATTAGTACATTAAGAAGATTTGGTTTAAAGCCATATTATTCCCAGAGGTAACTATTCTAAGAGTCGATCCAATGGTTGGCTAAAATCCTGTGGTGTAACCTGAAGTTACATCATCTTTCCAATGCTTGAAGAAGTGGAATTCAAACCGAGGGTAGGGCAGTTGAGGCAGGAAAGGAGAATGGGTTGGAAGATGGAGCAGATTCAGCCTCTTGCCCCCAAAGGCCTGGAAACATAGAACTGAGTGACTACCCTACTAAAGTTGACTATACTTAATCTTCCTTTTCTTTCATGGTAGGTGTTTACATTGGCCTAAGCTTTTCTGGATTTTGGCATTATAGTGATACCACATGGTATAACTTGACAGAAACTATCTATTCCCAACTTCGAGAAGGTAATTCCTCTAACAGTGTCTTTCTTCATCTTCAGCACTTTGCTTATATCAACAGTTGAACAATATTTATGACATGTCTTTGCTTTAAGGAGCTCACTTTTTTCTTTCCTTTTAATCATGCTATTTTTTCCTTTAGAACACACAGGACTTTCAGTGGTGGATATGGTTTTAACAAATCACTTCTTAGTTATCCTCACCACTTTGGGTCTTTTTGTAAGTGGAGATCTTCGTTATCCATCAACCCAAGACTTAATGGTATGTAAATTGCTTTGTGGTTAATAGTTAACCTTAAATATCTTCTGGGACATAAAAGTAAATATTTGGTATTTGAATTATATATGGTAGGTCTTCGAATTAAAATGCTTCTTCCTTTTACAAAATGTAAAAGCATAATACTGCAACTTTTTCCTTTGCTTTATAGTGTTGAATAGGTAATTTTGAAATGGTGCTAATTTTATGGCTGTGCAAATTTACAGTAAGTCTTAAATACATACATGTAGAAAAGACTTTATCTACCTGTCCATTGGTTTACTTATAGCTGTATTTCTTCCCCAAATGTTTTTAAAAAAAACTTATAAAGCTAAATGTAGTATTTCAAAGTAACATAAATTAAAAGTCAGTGTGGGGGCTGAGAGAAGGGGAATATATGTTTAGGTAAAGATGGACAATATGCATACCATGAAATTCTTAAGCATGTTAATAAATACTTCCACAACAGAGATAAGACCAGTAATAAAGATTTTGAAGCAGGAGGAGAAAAGATAATGGGAAGTAAAGAAGGGGCAGTTGTACTGGTTGAGAAGCAGATACTTCTTATATGCAGCAATTATTCTCTTTCTCCAGCTATGTGAATATTCACAGCCTTCTCTCCTTCCTCACCATCTCTGAGGAAGTACCATTTATGGCTCAGACAATGAATAGATCTGGCTTTTTATGTGCTTATCATGTAATTGCTAAAACAGTAAATCCAAGAAGCCCGCAAGGCTACAATGGCTTAAATAGAAAGAGCAAAGAAGTAGACATGGGACGTATGTCATGAGTCTTGATCTCTGACTGCCCCGGACTGGGCAGGGGAAAGAGAGTGGCAAAGAAGAGATGAGAGGCGAGGGGTGGGCTTTCCTAAACCCAAGTGGGTGGCAGACTTACTACCTTCGTGAGCACTTCTTAACTGCTCCACTTAAATCACTGAAAGGTGTGGTTTGTATCTCAAATTCTTTCTAGAATTACATTAACGTATAACTAAACTAATAAAACAGTGAAACGAGGCAAAGACTGAAGGGCAAATTTCCAGGATATTGTGTAAACTATGTCAGAGGCTGGTTTTAGTGTCTGACCATCCTAACTGCTTGGATAGAAAAAACATAATTTCCTTTGGTATAATTTAAATTGCTATGTTTTGTTATGCCTTCTGATATGCAAGCAAAAATTAAAGTTTCTTTTTTTCTTCTAGCTTTCAAGACAAGACTTTTGTGGTTTTGAAAGGGTAAGAAGCTTTAAATTTCCAAGGGCTGGTTAGAAGATATGTGTTTACTTGGTGACTGAAGAGATGAGATGCAAGGCAGTAATTCATAATATCGACTACCCCTGTTACTGTAATATTATTTACAGTTTGAGCTAAAAAAAAAAAAATTGTTTCCAGCAACCAAGAAGAAATGATCTCCTCTTCTGTTTCAAAGGCAGAAGTGCTCCTCCTTATTTCAGAGGCCACTGCCACCCCTTCTCATATGCTCTGTCCAGGCTGCTATGATTGTTCAGGCTGCATTTTGCAGGAGGGCACCCAGCTGAAGGGAGTGGGCATGGGAATCTGGCTAACACTTTACCCCCTGCCCATCTACCCTGGTGTAGATCTGTGTCTACCTGGAGAAAGGGGCACTTTTTCTAATTTATACAAAAATGCCATATAATCTAGCCACAGCTCTGCTTCTGGCCTTTTTGGGGAATTTGTCCCATCAGTTATCTCCCCTCTCTATTACAAAGTCAGGTTTTGTGATTCAATGAGGTTCCCATCAACATATAGGTGTACTTCGATTTGAAAACCACAAATGAAATTATGAGTATTCCTACCTTTTTGCCATGTCCCTTCCCCATTCTGTTCTCCTACAGTCCACGTTCACACTGTCTACGAGGAAGGAGCACTTATTTCTCAGGAAGTAAATAGAACTGACTTACTGTGATACCAATTGGAGGAAAAATGAAGCAGAGAACTGGGAAAGCCAGATGGGCAAAGTTGATTTACATTAGAAAGAACAGAGGGACCTCACTAAATTATATCATTCAAGAATGAAGGTTGTAGTGGATTGAATTATGTCCCCCCAAAACTCACTGAAGCTTGAATCGTGTCCCCAAGTTTCATATATTAGAAGCTTTGGGGCCGGCCCGGTGGCGCACTGCTACAGTGCACCGCTTGGGAGTGCGGCAGCGCTCCCGCCGAGGGGTCGGATCCCACATACAGACCGGCTGCCCACCGGCCGAGCGGGGCGCCGGCG